TAAAGTGCCGTAATACGACGATTTACATTAGCCGCTCTTTAAAATTAACTTTACCGATGGGGCGATGGGGCGATGGTCGAACCCGTGGCGATGGGGGAGCCTGTAGAGCCAGACATCGATTAAATTGCGCAACAGAATGAAGCAATAAACATTTAGAGGGCTCAGGACCCCAGGACCCCAGGACATCGAGCCAGAGAGCACACGCTCACACGACAAAAGCAGAAAAATTATCAGACAAGTGTGCATACGTGTGTGTATCTATATGTAGACATTATAGTGACGTGTGTGTGTGTGTGTGTGTGTGTGTGTGTTTGCAGATCCTAGTGGGTTAAGCGTGTGGCACAGCCAGCCACAGCCACATCCTCGTCCGCGTCCGCATCAAAATGGCCAAGCGACGTTTAGCAGTCGATAAAGTCATTGAATGCAGCACGTGGATGCCTCTTGCCAGGACTAAGTTATGCATGTGTAAGTACCATATGTGTGTGTGGGGCAGTACCCCTCTGTACCCCCTTTCGTGGCTCATTTTACGCTTTTGTGATAAAGCAATCAGCTGATGCTGTCGCACAAAAGGCGAAAGATAGCCATCGCCATGGCACAGGATAGACAGCGCCCGGATGACATGGATGTCAGGACACGCACGAAACAAGGACGGCACTGACCAGCCGTAACCGCAAAACATATATTGATTTTGTAGAAAATGTATTCATATGAAATGCATTTTATTTGTGGCCAAATATTTACAAATGTTATGCAAACTTTTTAATTCTATTTATTCAAACAATAAATACAGAAAAAGCGACAAAATGGCAATATGAATCATTCGGTCGAAACGGCCGAACCAATTGGCCCAAAACAAAATACACTTGGCCATCGGAATGTGCACACAGGATAGGAAAACTATTTATCTATTCTATCTGTATGTAGAGGGATTTACTAGTAGAATGATTGGGATGCCCCCTAAACCGAAAAGCCAACGAGCCGTCGGCCCAGCGGAGAGCGTCTAGACAGTATCGTAGTTTTCGGCCATGGCCAATAAAGCAAATGCGGGAAAATACTCCTGTCCCGCAGTAAAAATTAACAACAGCGACGACACGTTCTGGCCAGAAGGAAAATGGCCAAAAAGAGAGTAGAAAGCAGGCAACAGTGGAGCAGAGAGAGGGATCGAGAGCGAGACAGACAGAGATGGGACCACACACAGACTGACAGACAGCGAAATAGAATAAGAAATGGCCATGAAAATAATAAACAAAAAAAGTCCAGAATGAATGAACTGGCGGGAGAGAATAGGAGAGAATGCAGAGCAGATACCAGGGAATAGACTGTGGATATGAATGAAAATCGGAAAATGCTAAGCAAACAACAGCCAGGCACAACAAAAGCCGCAGAAAAAAAGTAAGGATAAAAACCAGAAAACCAGAAACATAACTGGGACGAGGAGTTGGACAGGGATGTGGACACGGACATGGGCATGGACTTGCAGTGGACTGGATCTGTGTGTGAACAGGTTGTGTGGATGTCGTCGTAAGTGTTAATATCTGTGTGTGCGTCGCCTGGCGAGTGCGAGTGCGAGTGCGAGTGTGCCTCTAACTGTTTCAGTGTGCGTCCCCCTGGCTGTTTCTGTGTTTGTGCAGTGAAATAAAAACGCAACAATGCGCAATCATCATTATCGTTAAAAGAGCCGCTTACAGAACTAGACAAATTGCCACTTTAGAGAGCCAGAGCCAGTGGCAGAGCCAGGAGCCAGAATCAGAACCAGAGGCCCTTCGTGCACGGCGTGGATAAAGGCCAACCGGCTCAAAGTAGCAGCACCAGAAGCAACAAGAGGCCTCAGCAGCAGCAGCAACCTCTCATCCGACCAGCAGCAAGGGGCAACATCAGCAGCAGCAGCAGCAGAAACATGAGCAACGGAAGTTGGCGGCCGCAACGTGCCAAGCGGGCAAGCGTCTATAATGACCTCTGGGCAAATGGGGCAGCACACACACACGTACACACACAGCATCAGAACCAAAATGGCGCACATTAGGGACCGCAGGACGCAGGAAAGTATGCTATGCTGGCTAGCCCCAAAAAAAAGGAGCTGCGAAAGCAGAAAAGCAACAAGCCAACAAAAAGTAACACTCATAATCAACTGCTGCCGACGGAACAATGAATAGAATCAAACAAAACCAGGACAGGGCGCAGTCCAGAGGCAGCAGTAGCCACACGAGGAGGAGGAAGAAGAGCTGGAGCCGTATCAGAGGGCGGGACCGACATCAAGTTCAAGGTTTAGACACTCATTTCTGGCTTTTGTTTCATCAAAAAAGCATAGGCTAGCACTTTTTTTGGCTTAATTATAGACACGCACAGGAATACACCCACAAACACACACACACACACACATACTCGTAGAGGGACAATTATGTGGAAGCTAAGAGGAGCAGGCAGCACCATACATCACCAGTTCAGAGGCAGCAAGCCCATCCCCCTGGTGGCAGTGGCCTACATGAACATCCTATTCGCTTGTCCCTTTGCTTCTTGGTAATTTGCAGGCATCTAAAAGCTGGGCAAGAGCACTCATTAATGGCAGGGGCAACGGGGGTGGGAGGAGCAGGGAACCCTCTCCCTTGGACCCTTCTTAACAGCTTTGATTGCTGCTGCTCCTGCTCCTGCGGCCGTTGCTCATGCAATGGCGACAGCAATTATTGTTACAATTAAAAAACCATTAGCCGTAATTTGGTTACATTTTGCTGTTCCTTTTAGCCAGTTATACGACTATACGACTTTAGTACCACAATACGAGTATATGTTTGCTTAGTTGTGGGGGAAACCATTCAGGGGATTGGGCCACACGACACTTCCGCTGGATGGGCAGCAGGAAAACGCAATGAAATCATTAATTAACCGCCCAAGAATCAATAACAGGAATAGTATAGGTGCAGGCCTCGACCTCTCTCCAACGATTCAACTAAATCCCCAGCTCGCTGTATTTACCCGATCTCAAATATTCATGGTAATAGCGCAGAAATTGCTTAATTCCATTTAATAAGCTGAAAATGTCTCTACCTTCGCGTACAATTGATTGTTTACCCAATAATTTGCTGGCCTCGAGTATCGGGGACCGCCTCCTGAGGGAATGTTACCAACTTTGAACTTAACTATTTATGAAAATGAACTTTTCCCCCCATTATCGCATAATTTCCACGGGCCACATTCCACCGTGACAATGGAGCACAGGAAGGGGAGTAAAGAACAAGAATTTCTGGAAACGTTTTTGTAGTTTTCCCTTACTTTTTTTTTTTTTGTCTGGTAGTCGTAGCACACATGCAACTTGCCCTCGATGGGCCTAGGCTGCGCCATTGATTGGCAGCTGTCTCACGTGGCACCACTCTCTGAATCCCCAGCAATCGCCGTCCTCATCCTCTTGCCCAACGGAGTGTCAAAGGCGCTTAAACGCTTTGAGCAAGCCGCCCCTTTATTTCTCACTCTTTTCCTTCTTCATTTGTAGTTTCCCTTTCCGTCCTTTTCCGTACTTTTTTCCATCATTTTTCGGTTCTGGCCAATCTTCTCCGGTTCTTTTGTGCCGAACGAGCGGAGCTGAACCGCTTTTTGTGCCCTTTGCATATTAATACTCTAACTGAGGAAAAGGAAAATGCACTTGCAGTTTCCCAGGCAGCGGCCAATGAAGGCTACTTTTAAAATTATACAAATTATGAATCGCATTCGGAGAATGGAAATGGCAGCCTGCAATTGCAATTGCTGTTGAAACTCGTCAGCTGGCTCATGCCATTTCATTTTTACACCCGTAATTTGCATAAGAAATATGAAAGTTTTTTGATTAAAGTTTTAATTTTTTTATTTTCACAATTCAACTAGCAACTCAACTGATTCGAACTATTCTAAATTGTTTTATTTTCAATCAAAAAATCCTTTCTGATAATTAAAATTCGAAAGAAGGCAAAAGGAAAATCATTATACTCATCGAATGAAGCGACGGATCGTGTACGACCTTCTGTAGAACATTCTGTACTTCTTAGATTTGAATGTTCCAATTTCCCGCTAGTTGCAACTGTTTTCTTGGTAAGGGCATACCCCCAATCGACTTGCAGCGTTGCCCGTTGCTGCGGCACTTTCTGGTTCTGGTCTTCTCATAATCACCGAAAAAAAAACAGAGGGCGGTGCAGGGGTTCTGGCCAGAATGCTTTTGAAGTTCTTTGTTGCTGTCTTGCTGCAGCTTTTTTGTGGCTGCTTCTGTGAGTGCGGGGCACGGGGCACGGGGCAAGGGGCTAGGGCATGCGGAATAACCTCGACATGCGATGCAATCGCGGGCTCTTTGGGCATAACGTTTTTTGTCTTGCTTGCACTTTTTTTTAGCATTGTAGTCGCGGCCAGGTGGTGGCTACTGTTACGGCCATGGCTACTGCAGTTAGCCCAAGATATTGCACACTTTGCTTACCAAGAAACGGCCAGGCAAAGAGCGAAAGAGCAATACCGTTTGGAGCGCTTCTAAGTGGCAATAACAATTTGGCCGTTTGCATTCGCAATTTATGTTTTGTCGCTCTCGAGTTGAATGAATGGGCAAACGTCCTCACGGCTCTCGGGTCTAGTCTCCCGCTCCCTACAAAAATGCAAATGCAAATGGCAACGGCAACTGATGGCCAAAAATAGCTTCAATCTGAGGAGTACAGAGTTGGAAGTGGCCAGGCGGCAGGGTGGCAGGGGCCAAGAGGCATGAGAACGAGTTGCAAACAAGTTGGAATCAACTGGTCAACGCATATAATGCAAAGCGACTGCGGCTCGGCTCGGCTCCCATGAAACAAACTTGGCAAACTGGAAGCAGGTAACTCTGAGCTCTGAGGCCACTCTGAGGTAGCTCTCTGAAGTAACTCTGATGATGCTACAAGCTGGTAAGAGCGTTGCAGGTTTTCGGCCATAAGTTGGGGGGACACACATGGGCACTTCATATGGGGACGGCGACTGGGGCCTGGGGACTGGGGACTGGGGACTGGCATTTGTATATTCACCTCACAAAAATGTGTGCAGATCTGCGGCTGAAGTGTTATTCCTCCTCTGAATATTTCACTGAATTTTTTGGTTTTGTTGTTGTTTTTTTTCTCAGTAATGTTTGGCACTGCTCACAAAATTATTCACGATTATCGAAGCTCTCTTTCTCTGTTTCTCACACTACTAACTGACGTTGCACCATCCGGACTAGGGTACCGTTCGCGACGCTGGCTCATTTTTGAGTGGCACAAACTCGTCGATGCGCCGCTGTCTGCTGCTCGTCGTCGTTCCTCTGTGCTCGTCGTCCCGCTCGTTCGTGTCTCTTCGTGTGGCATGTGGCCGAAACCAGTTTTGGGCTTTTCGCTTGCTGCTGGCAACGCTGCTGGCATTACACTGGGTACACTTTCGACTTGCCGGCATTTTTAACAGTTTGTTTACGTTGGCAGGCGCAGGCGTTGGCATGTACAAATGTTAGAAATAACAGGAGTACCAGGCCCCTGTTAGGGATTCTCAATGAAAAGTCAAGAAAGAAGACAGAATGAGAGGAAGATCCTTTGTGGCATATTTGACAACATTTTCCAATCCCTAATTCAAAAATAATGATTAATTTGCATCTTTTATTCAACGTCTTGGTGAGTTTTGTATGAATCCAATACCGGAATTCATATCCGTATTATTATTATTTAAGGTAACATTTATACTTAATTCCCTACACTTTTTTACCATCAAACAATTTGATAGCAGCTCTTCAACAATTAGAAACTATAATATGATCTTCTTCGTGGGAATTTTCGAAAAATGTACAGACTAATTAACACAGATTACAGATTATTCCTACAACTAGTCTGACTCGAAATAAAAATCCCATTTATTTCAGAGGAAATTAATCCTTCGCAGAAGTTTTCAACGTACTTCTTGGGCATTAACAAAACTGTCCATTAATTGCCATAAATTAGAAGCACGGATACGTGGACCACAGCCATATGGTGTGGAGAGGCAGCCAATCAAGTGATTGACCACAAATGGTAAGGGGGACTCCTGTAGCGAGGGGAGCTGAGGCCTGTAAGCATTCAAATCCTTCGAAATTAGAACGTGTGGAATAATTTATGATCGTTTTAATAATGGCACGTAGCCAATCATTTGAATGCGATTTAATTAATTTCCTCTTCGGTTTACCTTTGGAATTGCTCCGAAGCCGAGGCCGTAATGACAGGACCACAAGCACAGGCCACTCCTCACTCGATGGCACCGAGATAGATGTGCACTACTTATACGCATTTATACGAGTACATGTGCTGGTATATATATCAATAAAATCAAATAAATATATCGTTTGAGGCCAGCCATCCACCTGAGATCCACAGGCATATAAATAACCAATGATGCGGCATTTATCTGACTCTTGCCCAGCCTCTTGCCCTGCCGCATTCAGTAGCAGGACCCAGGAGTCGGGACTGCCATCAGTCTCAGCTTACGTTCCGTTTAAAATGGTTTTGGGCCGTCCTGGGGCCCATTGAAACTAAAGACGAAGACGAAGAAATTGTTCTTCCTTTTTGGTCCGTCTTCGCGTTGTTGCCCAGGCATTGTTTCGGGGGAGTGCCCCTCCCGCATCGGTTCTCCTTTCGGGCTAAAAGGGATAAACGTTTTTAGCATGGCCTGCACGATTTTTATGTAAGGAACGTGTTGTTGTTGCCGTTGGCCCCGTCCCCCCAATCTGCCCCTGGCGGCCGTGTCCGTGCGACTGTTTCGCGTCATTTGCTCTCCGCTGGATCGTAATTTTATGGCTGGCAGCAGCTTCTCCGGGCCTGGTCTCCAATTGCAGCGTAGAGCGCACTCCTAGAAGGCAAACGGAAGTAAGTTGAAGCCAAAAATTCTCTATCGTTTTTATTTGACGAAACGCTTTGTGCCTTTGTGACTATGATTCCGATCCCAGGGCATTCCTCCAGAAGTTGTCAAAACAAAGCGAACTAAACTTGCAATAAGTGGGGGGAGGGGAGGGCACGGGCTGGCATTGGCGCTGGGGCACATGCCTCACCTGGCATCCGACCAAGTGCAAGTCCCATTCTTTCTCTCTCCCTATCCCTCTCGGGGGCAGACAACGGAGAATATCGCTTACCAACTCGTTTGGCAATTTTTCTCAATTTTCACATTGAAAACTAAACGCCTTTGCCTTTGCCTGTGCCCTCGCCTCGTCCCTCTGGGCTGATGTTTGGGCATCCAATTTGGGGATCAGGCAGGTAGGGAGGCAGGTGTCAGCGGCACAAAGCTGACTGGCTTGCCGCAGGCCAGCAACCAGGTCTGGTTGCCTTTGCTTTGCCTTCGCTTCATCTTTGGGGCTGTGCCACCTACTGTTGCTGTTGCACGATTGCTCTTTGGCGATTTGGACACGCACACACGCACACAGAGCGAAACAAAGCACAAATTGTTGTATGTAATTGTGCGTTGGCTTTGCCCCCACACACACATCAACACGCTCCACACACACACGAAAGCACACCTGCCGCTGCGTGCGCCGAATTCCATTGCATACTTTCCGACGCCTGCTTCAGCATTCCACCCCTTGCAGCGCACCCTCCACCGCACCCTGCTGCCTTGACTGTGCAAATAAAAAGTGATATACGCGCGACACTGAATGAATATTAATCGCTTTCTTTTCGCCCCATGGCCCCTCTGCTTGGCCTGGATGGGACTGGGCTGCCAGCCAGTTGGCCGTTCCACGGCCATGGAGAATGCGGCACCTTTTGGCCAACTCTCTTTTGTTTGGACCAGCTGCCCGACTGATTTGGCAGCTTAAATGATTTCCGCTTCAACTCGATGATGCGTATGGGAGGAGTACGTATACGGGTGAATTTATTAGTTAAGTCGGTCTGATTGTTCCTGCCTCTGCCTCTGCCTCTGCTGCTGCGCTTCCATTTGCCACTTTCCCTCTTTTAGTATTCCTCTTTTAGCAATTAACTCTGCTTTTCCTTAGCAAAGGGTGGAGTGTGGTTGTGGTACCTTTTCGGCCAAAGCACTTAGTCAGAACATAAAAAAATCAGAAAGAAGTGTAATCCTTTGGGACCGAGGTCTCAGATACCCTTACCGACCCATCGTTTCTGTGGCAGAAGCTCGTGCAAACGGGTATAAATGCTGGACTAGAACATATTTGATATAGTTTCATCCCTGCTTTGTCAGCATCTGTTCAAAATCACTATACCCTTTCCAAGAGTAAGAGTAAACTTACATGGGACTTACTTATTATGCACAAAAAAACCCTTTGAGCAGCAACTTTTCATAAGGGTTAGCCCCCTTACCGGTGCCTCTCTTCCGTTACTCCCCTGTACTTGGCACCTTTGAAGGGCTTCACTTTATCCCAAAAAAAAAAAAAAAAACGAGCGGGACCGCTGTGGGCCACGCTAAGGGCCGCGACTCTACTTTTATACCCGGCACTCGGTCATTATACTATATTTATTTATACGTAACCGCCCGGATTCGTATGGGATCCGAAGACAGGCCCTCTCTCTGTCTTTTTAGTATCGCTTTTCAGAAAAGAGACGAATGGGGAACTCCGGGGGTTCTCACCGCGATCTCTCTCAATATTACTAGTATAGACAGAGATGAACCAGGACTGCTAGTAATGTTCATATGTTGATTCTTGCAGTTCGTTTATCCACCTAATGTATTTTTTCTTCGAATTTTAAAATATTTTATGTTTCCATTTTTCCGATACAATTTTTTATTCCGCTACATCGGTTTCTCTCTTCTCACACTAACACCAGCTGGTAAATCTCGCTCCTCAACCAGAGGACGCACACTGCACGAGGAAGAGCGTGTGAGCAAGAGACATGGGAATAGAGAGAAAGAGAATGACTAAGTGCGTGGAAGGGCTACCGTAGCTCCGGCAAAATCGATGTGTTCACTCTGGGCTCCGGGAAAATATTGTCAACACTATTCTAACAGCTCTTCCTCTTAAAGTCCTTCAGATCTACGGGACGGACAGACAAACGGACACTGTTTAGTGAAGGCTTTTGATGCTGATCAAGAATATATCTACTTAATGGCATTGTAAACGCTTTCTGCTGGGTGTTAAAAACATCCACATGCACCACAAAACTAAGACATCTTCGAGTACAGGGTATGCGGGGCACAAGCAAATTTCGGGCAATTCAATTTGGTGTCAGCACCCGAACTCCATCCCCAGCCCTCGTCGAGAGTGGTGCTGTTTCATTATTTCTGTTATTTTTTATACCCGATACTCAAAATGAGTATTGGGGTATATTAGATTTGTGGTAAAAGTGGATGTGTGTAACGTCCAGAAGGAATCGTTTCCGACCCTATAAAGTATATATATTCTTGATCAGCATCAATAGCCGAGTCGATTGAGCCCTGTCTGTCTGTCCGTCCGTCCGTCTGTCCGTCTGTCCGTCCCCTTCAGCGCCTAATGCTCAAAGACTATAAGAGCTAGAGCAACGATGTTTTGGATCCAGACTTCTGTGATATGTCACTGCTCCAAAAATATTTCAAAACTTTGCCCCGCCCACTTCCGCCCCCACAAAGGGCGAAAATCTGTGGCATCCACAATTTCGACGATACGAGAAAACTAAAAACGCAGAATCGTAGAAGATGACTATATCTTCTAGAGTGCAAAATCTGAACCAGATCGTATAATTATTACAGCCAGAATCACGAAAACAATTTCACTCTTTCTCGCTCTGTCTCACTCTAACACACAGGTTTCATGGTCGGTTTTGCCAATTGCAAAATATGAGTTCAAGGATCTCAGAACCTATAAAAGCCAGAGCAACCAAATTTGGTATCCACACTCCTGTGATATCGGACCTTGACCGTTTCCTGTCCAAATTTCGCCACACCCCCTTCCGCCCCCGCAAAGGACGAAAATCTGAGGCAACCACAAATCTCAGAGACTATTAAGGCTAGAGTAACCAAATTTGGTGCACACACTCCTTTAAGATGTCACTATAAAACGTATATCTCAGAATTTCGCCCCACCCCCATCCGCCCCCACAAAGGACGAAAATCTGTTGCATCCACAATATTGCAGATTTGAGAAAACTAAAAACGCAGAATCATAGATAATGACCATATCTATTAGATTGCTGAATCTGGATCAGATCAGATCATTTTTATAGCCAAAAGGAACAAATCAATTTGCAGTGGCTACGCAGCGCCCGACGTCACGCTCAGACTGATTTTCTGTCTCTCTCGCACGCACTCTTTGTCGTGTCGTTAAATATTAGCGGCGTCTGCCGGAGGAGAGCCATACTGACTTAGTATCGGGTATAACCGTAGAGTTGCGGTGTCCGCAGCAACTCACAACGTTCCCCCTCGTTTTTTAATGAATTTCTTGCATTAAATTTCGCAACAATGAATCGCTTTGTGCCATGGTGCTATGAGGGGTGTTCGATGTCATCAAGGTGTTTGCCTCGGTTGACACCTCATCAGGGTCGCCTCCCCGCACCGCTCTGGGGGCAGGCCCGATCTCCGCCTCAGATTGCCGGGTCTGTTGGGTATTTCCGCAAACATGTTTGCATGTTTTGCCACATAGAATTTATAGTTAATTTTCAATTTTGTTGAACAAGCAGCGCAGACACCGACACTCGCATAGATTTGAATGAATGGATTCCATTTTCCAGCCATCCCAGGTGGACACTGAGGGGGGCTGCGGGTAGGGCATCATGCCTGATGGGGGCAGGGTGATGGGTGTAGCCACCCCGTGTCAAAGGCAAACTTTGCAGACAACAAAAGCTCATCGCAGACTGTACCACCAGGGGTGGTGGTAATTGTGTTGATGGTTTCGGGGGCAGGCATGAGATGCAGCAAAGTTTTTGCTCTCAATTCTAATTGCCAGTCAAGCCGCCGCAGTCGCCGCACAGCCCCTTTTGTAGGTGTCGGGGCTACGCCCATGTGGCTTTTGATTCTGTGTGGTTGGGCGTCTGAAAAAAAAAAACCAAAGGAAGACAACCAAATAAAAATAAGAGAGAACAAACTGGCAACGAAACTAATCTGCAAGTGAACCCGAACATGACACGCACACAGATGCGCTGATGCACACACACACAGATTCACAGATACTCACACATGAGCATACATAGAAAAGCAATTTGTTTGCGGCTCTCACTATTGTTGCATGATTATTGTTTGTTTGGATGCGTCTCTGCGCTACGCGACTTCGAGTCCCAGCCCCTGTTCCCCCATCTTTGTCGCACTTTTTTGCAGCAGCCTCTCTTGCTCTGCCTTTCTCCCTGCCTCTGTCTCTGTATCTGTGTGTCCTTGCGGTGTATTTAACCTGTCTGCTTGTTGGATTACGAGAACCAACCCACGGACAGGCGGGTGAACGGGCGACCCGGATGTATGGGGAGACAAACAAAACAAGCAACAAAACATGTATCTATTCATATGCCACTTTGTGTCGTCTCTCGGGTGGGTAGGGCGGCCAGAAGGGTAGTGTGTGTTGTGTGTTGTGGAGGGTGCCGGTCTGGTAATGCAATACGCATGCAGCGATACCACAGAGCTCTGGCCCAGCCCAGCCCAGCCGTAAACCCCACCGTTTGGGGTTCCACTGCGTTAGACAGACATTTTAACGCTTATTTTACTTTTGGCTACCCACACACTAACAAACACTCACAAACACTCACACAGAAACACTCACGCCGCAATTTTCACACTTATTTGCCTTTACGCTCAGCTCAATTGCATTTCACGTGGTAGCAGAGTGCACTTTAATGCCGTCAAGGAGAATGTGAATCTACAACAGCAAGAGGACTATTTGGGTCGTGACTGAGGATCTGCGGAGAGGATTTGCGATGCAAGTCGAGAAAGTCCTGGAAGACATCGCACAGAAAGTAGAGCCAAAAACCTGAAATCATAAGAGAACAATGGGTTATACCCGTGCGAGTATGTGGGCATCAGGAGAGCCGCGCTTACTCACCCGCAATGATGTAAAAAAGGGGGATTACCACAACCAGCAGTTTTCCCTGCAGATAGCAATAGTAGTTCACGGTTTTGTAGAGCAGAGTGTAGATAAAAACTATAGCCGCCACCACCCAGGGCAGGAACAGCCAATGATTAGCCTTTGAGGAAGAGCCACGACCTTCAGTCCCGATTGGAGATAGTATTAATCTTGAAGTTCTCACCTTCAGGGAGCCCACGACGAGGAGCACTCCTCCGATCGCCTGCAGCAGGCAGATGTAATACCACACAGAGATTTCCCAGGACTCGCGGGGCTGCTCCCAGGTGGGGAACAGCAACAGGATGACAATGGAGACGGTCAACGACAGGCCCGCGATGGCCATGCGTACGAGCATTCCTTGCATTTCATATGGGCGCATTTTCTACATCTGAACACCACGAACAATCCGCAATAACTGAACAAAACTTGGGTTCCAGTCGCCGCAGAAGAGCATTCCCAGAAGGCACTTCCCCTTCAGCCCCCACCTCACAGAGCTGGGAGCTCTTATCTTTCCAGAGAAATGCTTATTATATACTGGCTTTACTTTTCATTGATTGCTCTCGGACCCCTGATAAGCTAGTTTTATATATTTTATAATCTGAAGAAGGGACTATGTCCCATAACGCGTAGCTGACGTCATAACTGCGAAAGCGGAGGGCTCTCAATAATGGAAAAATGATCTGAAAGACAGCCATGGAAGTTACACCTTTTAAGTAATCGTTACACTTGGCGTCATCAATTGCTCAATCGCACTCTGCAATGGCCAGCGGCTCTCGCCCTTTTTCATCGAACCATTTGATGTGCAAAAACTTTAACTTTGCGAATGTGGAGAGCGGTGGCTCCAAGGGGTTTTCCCCATCTTAAGTAGCTAAAGCATTTCGCGTAAATTAGCCGAGTGTAGACTTCATTAAGTTGGGCCAGTAAATTAAGTGCTAATGTCGAAAGTTTTGACCGACAAAGTGCGCAATGAAATGTTGCTGCTGGTGGTGTTGGCACCACTCTAGCGCCGGAAACAGCCAGGGGCAAGTACAGCCACGGCAAAAGCAGCAGCAGCAGCATCAACCGCAACAACAACAGGATGAGCAGGAGGATGAGAAGAGCAAAAGTGGAAAGGACGCTAAATTGATGATGTAGAGCGAAAACGAACGAAAATTGCACTCACTTTCCTTGGGAGCCGCAGAAATACGAGCAGTACCAGTACCAGAACCAGTCCCAAGTCCAGTCCCAGCCCTAACCCCTCCCTTAGGGCATCTGCCACCCCCTATTTAGCCTCTCGCTCTCACGCTCGCTCTCCATCTCCCTGCCACACAGTCTGCAAAATTTTTAATGCTTTAATCTTGATGCTAATAAATCTTGAAGTTCTCTGGCACTTTTACATTACTTTCAGGGGAAAAAGGGTTTTCCTGGGAGGGAAGGCGGTGTGGGAGTCAAGGGGCAAATACAATTAGACAGCTGCACGCTTAACGTTCTTAGTTTAAGCCAATTTGAATGCACTTTGCCCAGGCACCCAAAACCGGCAACAGAAACTCAGAAACTGGCAACAAATGGCCCAAAGAGCACAGCCGGCCCTCACTCCCATTCCCTCGAGGTAATTGCTGCTGACACTTGAAGCCAGTGCGAGTCCTCTCAGTGCTCCAGTGTCAGTTTTTGGTGGCGACATCTTCCCTAATCGAATTGATTAGCCATTGATTAGCCCGGCCCTGGCCTCGTCCTGGCCTGTGTGCAGAGTTCCTGTGTATCAATCAGCCCCTGGCTGGGAAAGGGGCAACATAATTTCCCCCTACCCAAGCTCGGCAAAGTTGGCTCTCAACTTGGCCACAATGTCATCAGCAGTTGACACTTGCGGTGGCTGTGGTCGGAGGAGGCGTCTCTGGGTCTCTGTGACAAACAACTGTCAGAATGGCGTGTGACAAATTTTTGTTATTAGAAGAAGGCAAAGCCCAGGCGCCTCCACCCTCTGTGGGTTTTATTAACTTGAAATTTATGGCCAGCCATTAGGCAAGACAAATTAATCAAAAGTGAGAGAACGAGCGGGGGTGGGAGCGTTGTGCATTTTACTTTTTATTTCCCTGTACATAAATTTGTATTTAAAAATGAGTTAGAAGCGGAGGTTACGTTACAAAGGCGCCATCTCATCTCATCTCCCCCCTCCCACCTCCCACCTCCCATCTTCCACCTGCCAAATGCCAAATGGATCCCATTTCTCTCTTCGCGTCTGAGACTACTCCTCTTATTATGTAAGAATTTGTCATTTCCTCAAGCACGGGCCCGGGTCTGAAAATGCAATTTAACTGTTCTGTTTCAGAGGGGGAAAGGAATTTTAATGTTCTCGTTTTTAATGGGGGGAACATTAAAGCGCCAGAAAGTAAAACAAACTTGGGGGTTCCTCCGATCCCGATCCCGTCTCCTTCTCCTCACACTAGATGGGGATCTAGAAAACCTCGTCCTCCGCTCCGACCGAGCTGTTGTCCAGTCGGAAAAGCAGCAGCATATGTTGTCCAGGGGGGGGTTCCTTTTTCTTTCCGAGGGGTTGAGCGAAGCTTTATGCTCTGGCTTTGGCTGGGCACACACCAAAGGCACACCAAAGGCAACAAAAAAAAAGTGCAAAAATATGTTGCACATAAATTTGTATTAAGTTTGGCCCGCTGTCACTTTTTCTTCTTCGGCCGCCTCTAAGCAATGCGGGCAGACAGCATAACGACATAATCATAAATTTAAATATGCAACCCGGAGTTCGCTCAGAGTGTTTTCCCCATCCGTACTTTACATCTTTGCCAAAAAAAAATACAACAAAAAAAGAACAGAAGCGGAAAATGGCAGGGAGTAAGGGAAAACCTTGGCAGTGACAGTTTCACTTTGCCTGGCATAAGGAATTTCCCTGCCCATCGCCATCTCCGTCGCCTGTTTGCCAGCCACACATGTTGGCCCGGCTTTATGCGTCTTAAATGAAGTTGTTTTCTGACTGTCGAGATGGAAACTGGCAGTGGAATGGGAATGGGAACTAGAATGGCACTTGGGTCTGGAGGTGGGTGTGGTTGCTATGCGGGATCTTTATTAGCTAAGGCTGGACGTAAATCTGAAGAACTGAAACTCCAGGGGAGAGCATAAGAAACTTAGGAAGCTTTATCTGAGCTAAATACTACTTTTGCTGATTTAAACTGAAGCACAGCGCAGATAAGTGACGATTTATGTAAAGACTATCAAAACTAAATGGGGAAATTCAAAAAAAGAACCTAATAGAAGGAAAATCCAAAGAAATTATATTCAATTGATCTCATAGCTGGAAGCAGAGTCTCAAAAATCAGAGTGAGTGAAACAAATAAATAAATAAACCTGAACTTAGTCAGAAGCTCAGCTGTAGATTAGAACTGAAGGTAAAACTAAGCCAGAAACTTACAAAAAAGATTGATTTACGTAATAGTACCTACGTCTAATGGCGAGCTCTAACTAATCTGAACTCTATAGACCTGCAAATGATTTCAATCAGCATCTAAATAGAGGAAATAGGAATCCCATAACTTATGGCACCTTTGTCCTCCATTACGGCAGATTCCCAGTTCAATCAAGTAATTTCAAGCGATTTGCAACACCAAAAAAGAGTGCAAGAAAAATGGCCCCAAAAGTTGGGGGACGAAGTTCAACACCTGGGCGCATCCATTTCCCCCTTAGCCACTCTTAGCAGGCCCCCAACAAAATTTGACAGAAACATTTGCGAGTAATCCAAGAGTGAAAGACAAGAATGAAAGAAAGAGGTTTAGAGGGAAAGATAAAGAGAGAGAGAGAGAGAGGTCTGGAGACGGAAACGACAAATAAAATGTTTCGCAAAACAAACTATGGGGCAACAATGGATTTGGGGACAACTAAGGAGGAGTAAAGGAGGAGATGCAGGCTAAGCCTGGGCCGGAGGACAAGAGGCATCCCCAAAGGAGAGGCATTAGTTTATTAGAGGGTGTCCCTGTGTGTGTCTGTGTGTGTTCGAAGCTTTAATACCCGAAACCAAAAAAATAAATAGTGAGAAGAGAAGGAGAATCCGTCTTCGCACTATGGGATAAAAATCATCTCTGGAGAACAAAAGGATGTAGAAATAAATTGCGATAAAAACAAAAACCACATACATTTCGTATCAAATTCAAAATTTGTAATGGGTATCTTAATTTTTTAGATAAATGCCATACTTTTGAACCACTGTAAACAGAATTTGGTCTGGGGTGACAAGGGAAATTCGTGGTATTTTGTGTGTGCTTAAAAATACGAGAGAAATCTATTTAAATGGTGAAAAGTTTCGGACCCCGTGTAGGACATGGAAGGTGCTTCCGGAATCCGGAATCCGGATCAAGGATATACGCAAATAATGTCTGTAAACAATTTTTATTGCTTTCTGGTTGAGGGGCTTGTGCCTGTCCCTGGCCATGTCCGGGGGTTTTGCTTACAAAAGTAAAAGTTGTTGATAGAAATCACAGAACATAAACAGAGAGATACAACAAGAGTGGGTGTGAGAGATAGATAGATAGATACGTATCTGTGAGCACACAATAACATAAATTGCAAAATGTGACAAAGGGTTGCGCCCCAGTCCCCAGTCTCAGCGCATCTCCCAGTCCCCACCCCCTCTTGAGTGGGTCAGCAGCCCTAGGAAAACGAGAATAAATAACAAAAGGAAAAACGGAGACAACTCCTTCAAGCCAGAAGAAACCCCCCGAACTTCTGTCGATGACATCAGCAAACAGTCTAAGAAATTGAAAAAAAAAACCAATCCAGAGCAAGCCACATGCATGTCCCAGTCCCTGCCACAAAGGGAGCCAAAAGACAACCAGCCGAACGCAGCCAAGTGATTCGCATCAAAAGTTAAGACTTTAAACTTTAAGCTGCCAAATTGGCAGAAACCCAGAGCACAGCAAAACCTGGATGCTCCGGAGGATGTGGAGGTGGATGTGGATGCGGGTACACACAACGTCCTGGAGTCCTAGGCTAGACAACTCTTGGCGGAGGAGGAAATTGCTTGCTTTTCATAACTAAAACTTGGGGAAATTATGAAATTCATACAGGAAGACAATTTTCTTCAACATCTAATTCGGTTGCAGCTCCAGCCAGGAGTCCGTCCGTGCAACATTGCAGCCAGTAGCAGCAGCAGCAGCAGCATGAAATTTGTTTGCGGTCTTAGCCATAAGTTTGTCCGTCGACAGGCAACTTGTGGCGGCTCCTGGTTGGCTCCTGGTCTCTGCCTGCTGCCTGGCTGCTCTTTGCTAGCTTTTGACTTCTGACAGCAGTAGCTAACCTCCCAGAACCTCCTGCCACTTCAGAGATTTCCCTCGTTTAAGCCCTTCGCGAACTGCTCCATTTGTAAATCTTTGGAGCCCTGGCACCG